GATTTAATGCACTCTTTATTTAGCCTTTAAGATTAAAGGGATAGTTCACTTCAAAATGAAAATTGTGTCATCATACACTGACCCTCAAGTTGTTTCTAGCCTTTGTGAATGTCCTTCTTCTGCTAAACACAAAGATATTAAGAAGCATGTCCGGAATCGAACCGTTCCCTGGACCCACTGACTCCTACAGTAGAGATGAAGGATTCACTGTTCGTTTGGGACTCGTGCACTAACACACACTCGGCGAGGTGTTTCTCAGGGGTCCGTCCTGGGGCCGGTGTGGTTCTCTCTGCATTTACTCTCCCTGGCCTGTGTTTAAAGATGGCGTCTCTCTTCATCTATATATATATATATATATATATATATATATTAATTAAAAAATTAACCCTCGTTCCCTGAGTAGGGAACGGAGACGTTACATCACCCAGCGTCATACATATGTCACCCAGCCCTACTGTGTGTGTTTGCTTCGTGCATTTATTGTTGTAATACATTTCTCCTACCTGTAATTGCATTTTTGATGGGTTATGCATGAAGAATGTGTGTTTAGGATGCTGTGTGTGCACGTGTGTATGTGTGTGTATGTGCATGGTGTGTGTGTGTGTGTGTGTATGTACGTACGTACATTTGTTTGTGTGTGTGCGTATGTTTATGTGTGTCAGTTAGTGAGTCTGTGTGTGTTTGTGTGTGTGTGTGGCTGTAGGGGGTTAATGAGTTTCACTGCTCGGGCAATCCAGTGATGAGACTGATGGTCTAATGCTTTGATTGACAGCTGTCTGTCTTCTCTACAGGGAGAGATGACAGACCGCCCTGTCTTTGCTTCTTTTCTCTCTATGTGTGTGTGAGAGAGTAATTCTTGTACGCAGAGCTAATTTTTCTTCAGTGTGTAACTCTGCTGCACTTGTCCTGAACTCTTCCAGCAGTGTGTGTGTGTGTGTGTGTTCTCTCCTGTGCTTTCGGCTGTAACTCAGTGTTGCTGCTTTGAGTCTGAGAAATGAAGCTCCCCATATTTCTGTCAGACTCTTTTTTTCTCTCCGATTCTCTCTATTTTGAAGTTGGGTGAATAATAAGCATTGATTGATTCTGCTTGAGTCTTCAGGAATTTTCTGTGTAAGTTTGTGTTAAATGTTTGGACAAATAAATAAATAAATAAACGCACTTCCCCTGTATTTATTTCTGGACTGTCTTCTATTTTGCCTGAAGATGCAGCTGTCAGATGGAATTTTGGGGGCGGGGCTATCTGTGTGGCCAGCCAATGATAGACGAGGTGTGTTCATTTTTGAAAAATAGCAAACATGTTTGAAAACAGTCATTGTTGTGGCAGTTTAGCGTTAGAATTCATGCCGAAATTACACATCATCTAGTCTGAGCAAACAAACTGGATTTCTATAATGATGAAGTTTGAAATTTAATGCAAAATGGCAAATCTGATGAATTTGTTTGCCCTCCGTGTGTGTTTACAGTTCCTGCACTCGTTCGGTTGCTCCATTTCTTCCCTTTTTCTCCTTCAACCTGTTTTCCTGCATCTCCCTCGTTCCCTCTCTTTCTCTCCTCCGTCTCGGTCGCAGGTGTGGTAATATCGTTCTTTAGATGGAAATATGAATATCTCGCATGCGTCAGTCTCAGCAGGATGACACAAATCCTCCCTCTATTCTATCCTTCTCACTCGCCCTGCCATAATAGAAATGATAATAGCAACTCTATCACCCTGCCCAGCTGGTGAAGCATTCTGGGTAATGTGCTTCATCATTTGTTTGTTTATTTCACAATAGTTTTTCTTTCTTTATTTCTTACTAGCAGAGTGTGTGTGTGTGTGTGTGTGTGCTGCTTTTCTCCACATACGGGGGCGAATAATGAGCTGGATATAAAAAATATATTTATTCAATAATTAATTTATACATAAAAATGTATATTTCTAGAGCTGAATGAAATACAAGTGTATAATATTAATAATACGTGTGTGCGCACACACATATTTATAACCTGTATACATTTAGCAATTGGATAAAGTTTAAAAATTTGCATCAATTCTAAAAATGTTTAGTCACTTTATTATTTCTGATAGTTTGATCCAGCCATGTTTATTATAGGTGTGATAAAAATTTTCTATGATTATGTGTGCGAGCGACTCCTCTTGGTTATGGTTTTGAGTTTGTGTTTTCCTTTAAAAACTTTTAAACTTTTTTTTTCTTTTCAGTCTATTTTTAATCAAGAAAAAATAAGAATACTGCAATTTTTTTCAGTTTAGTTTAGTCATTTTAGTAAAAATTACAATTTTTTCTACTTTACTGAAACTTCTGTTATTTAATTTAGTTGCCAATGCAACATTTCTAGTTTTCTAAAGTTAAAATTAATTTAATATTTTAGCCCAAGTCGATGCATAATTTATCTGTTTTAATATTTTCTTAAATGTTGAATTATAAAAAACATATTTACTTTTTTAAATTCATAGTGTTTAGTTTCATGCAGTGTTGATGAAGAATGTCCCTCCTCATCTTCACTGAGGCCTGAGATGGGTGTGTGTAAACAGTGTAATGCACACACACTTTCACCCTAACTGGAAGGCTAACTCACACCTGGAGGCATCCAGTGCTCTGTGAGAACATGTGTGTGTGTGTGTGTGTGTGTGTGTGTGTGTGTGTGTGTGTGTGTGTGTGCGTGCATCTTATCGTGTGTGTGTTTATTTGTGTGTGCTAGCATGCGTGACATGCCTTTTGTCGCATTCCCCACTGCCATTGCTGAGGGCAAGATCACATTCCAGCCTCCCAGAGTGTTGCAATCTCTCTCTAGAGTGAGTGAATGAGTGAGTGAGTCTGTGAGTGAGTTTGTGTGAGTGAGCGGACGAGTGAGCGAGTGAGTGAGTGTGTTTGTGTGAGTTAGCGAGTCTGTGAGTGAGCAAACGACTGTGTGTGAGTGAGCGAGTTTGTGTGAGTGAGCGAGTTTGAGTGAGCAAACGAGTGTGTGAGTGAGTGAGCGAGTTTGTGTGAGTGAGCGAGTTTGTGAGTGAGCAAACGAGTGTGTGAGTGAGTGAGCGAGCGAATGAGTAAGTGAGTGAGCGAGCGAGTGAGTCTGTGAGTGAGTTTGTGTGAGCAAACGAGTGCTTGAGTGAACAAGCAAGAGAGCGAGCGAGTGATTGAGTGAGTCTGTGAGTGAGTTTGTGTGAGTGTGTGTGAGAGAGTGTGTAACGGCATCTTTGTAGTGGGAGGCTGAAGTATAGTTTGAACTTCTCTATACATTATTCATTACAGTGTGTGAGAAACAACAGCCTGGAGAAGAAAGAGAGAGAGAAGCTTCACTTTCACTCCATAAAACTCTCAAACTGTTGTTGTGCCTCTCGTCTCTCCTGAGACTATAACCACATGTATTAGTTATTGTGTTGTGTGTTGTGTGTTTCCTCACATGACAAGTGTTGGTCCAGAAGTGAGAGACAACAGTGAATATGTGGGAACCGTTTTGGAGATTTCTAAATCAATATTTTAAATTGAATAAACAAATTTGAACTCATGAACTCTTCGTTCCCGAAAGCTTCTTGTGTTTCATTTCCTTCCCTAATGCTGCTGTGGTGAGTGTGTAAAATCCTCCAATCATATTACAGGATCTCAGTTATTGCTGTTCCGTACAGCTCACCACACACACACACTGAGCTGCTTGTGTGTAGAAGCTGATCATAAGAATGATGTTAACTTGTGTGTGCGTGTGTGTTTTAAAAGCGTCAGACACATGAACTTCACAAAAACAGTTTTGTGACTATGAACAGACATGACTGAAAGCGTGCTTGTTTGTGTTTTTGTTCTTGATGTGTGAGAGATCGAGCGTCTCATTTGTTTCTTGTGTGATGGAGCTGTCAGTCATCCACGGAGGATTATGATTGACAGCTCAGCTGTTCTGTTGTCGTTAATCATCTCTTAATCAGAACAGCAGTGGAGGGGAAGGAGACGCGCGCACACACACACACACACACTCACAATCCACAAAATATACAAAAATAAAGCTTCTTTAACGGTGTTGATGGTCCCATAAAAAGCCTTTATTAACATCCATAGAATCTTTCCATTGAACTAAAGGTTCTGTATATTATTAAAATATTCTCTTTACACTCTTTAAAAAATGGTTCTCTTTTAAGAACTGATCAGAGAAAGGTTCTTTGAGAAACCAAAAATTGAACCTTTACTTATTTATTATTGCGTGTGTGTGTGTGTGCGTGTGAGTGAGTGATATTGCAGTGGAATGAGGAAAGTACTGTGAACTTCGGTTTGAAACATATTGTCTTAAAGAAATAAAGCTTAATCTTCTGTTTTCTCACTTCTCAGGTAAATTTGTTTTGTTTTAATTAAGGATATTTCGATGTTTATTTGCAAAATGTTTGTTTGGAATAGAGCGAATTATTCACTCTATTCCTGTTGTGTTTGTCTGGTTGTATCATGAACTTTGTCTAACAGTGACATTTTACATTTACATTTATTCATTTAGCTGATGCTTTTATCCAAAGTGACTTACAATTGAAGAGTTCAGATGCAAAAGCCTCTAAGTGCCATTTGAAATTTTCTTCTAGAATGATCATTTTTATCAAGCTTGTATATTTAAGTTCAGTGATTTCACTTAAATGGCAATGATAATTACCTATTAATTGTTATTTAAGTGAAATTACTGAACTTAAATATACAAGTTTGATAAAAATCATCATTGAAGAAGAAAATTTCAAATGGCATTTAGAGGCTTTTGCATCTGAACTCTTCAATTGCTATATATGTCAGAGGTCGCACGCCTCTGGAGCAACTAGGGGTTAAGTGTCTTTCCCAGGGACACATTGGTTTCTCACAGTGGATTCAAACCCAAGTCTCTCACACCAAAGGCATGTGTCTTATCCACTATCTACAATAATTTGACATTATTTTGACAGGAGAACGTCATCATCAAATCTACATTAGTAGGATCAGACAGTTTTCATGTTTTCATCTTATTTACGGTTCTCTCACCCCCCCCCCCCACCACCACCCCAGCCCCGTCTCAGGTGAACGAGCTGCGAGCCGAGAAGGTTGATCAGCGCAGTGTTACTCTGGTTTGGACTGAACCCGTCGTCTTCCCCAACAGCAGTCGCACTGAATACGAGATCAAGTACTATGAAAAGGTACAATAAGCACTATTAGAGTGTGTTTACGGATTATACTCCATAAGTAGAAAACATGTCTCATTAAAGTTTGTTTGTTTTGTAAATCTGGGAAAGGCCATTAGTTCTGTACGCCCCAGATTTGGCTTTGAATGCACGAGCACACGTACGTCTGATGACCATCTTCATCATATCCTGTACATTTACACTGTCATGTTTTAAAATCAGCTGAATTTTTCTCTGTTTTGTTGTGAATATAAGGATGTTGTTATGGAAACTTTTTAGCATGCTTTTGTCATGTATTTTTGGTACTTTTTAAATGCTTTTTATACAGAGATTTTATTGTTTTATGATTGTTCCACACTTTAAAATATGAAAATCCATAGTTAAAAAAAAATATTTATACATTTCATAATCCAAGGAAAGAGTGATGTTATCATAAACCATTTTAGTATTTATGTAAAGTTCCGACTGTAAACCCTAGATCCCTGAGAAGTGAACGAGATGCTGTGTTGATGGCACTTTGGGAACGCCCCTGCATGGTTGCGTCTGAAGCACATATGTCAACTATTCCAGTGGCGAGAGTGAACGTCAGGGGCGGGAGACATCACGACCAGGAAAGGATAAACATTGATGACGTTGGGAACGACAATACCTAAACGCCGTATTTACAATTGCCTGTATGAGAAACATAAGCAACTGATCCCCTGGGGCAGCGTGGATGGCCAGCCCGCCGCGTCACACACCTCCTGCAGGGAAACCCATGAGAAGAAGGCTTTGGGGGCCGCCAAACTCCTCGTAGTATGAGCTCTGGTGACGATTGGCCAGAGGACTCATAAGCAAGAGAGATAGCCTCAACTCTCCAATTGCTGATCGTCTGCTTAGAAGCTGGAAGACCTTTCTTTGGTGATCTAAAGCAGACAAACAGCTGATGTGATTTTCTCCACTGGGCAGCTCTGTGGGCATAAGTGTCAGTCTATGGTCTGGAGTCGTAAAAGGTGGAGGACAGACAGCTTGGAACTCAACAGGCCTTGGTAAGTTGGTCGGCACTTTAGGGACGTAGCCCTGTTTAGGATGGAGAAATGCCTTGACCATTCCAGGTGCAAACTCAAGGCAGGTGGGAGAAACCGAAAGGGCCTGAGGGTTTCAAACTCTCTTAAGGGAGAAATAGCCAGAAGAAAAATGGTCTTAAAGGTCAGAAACTTTTCTGAAACTGATTCGAGGAGCTCAAAGGGAGCCACAGATAGGCCCGCTAGGACTATAGCCAGGTCCCAAGCCCGATCCCGGGTTCGAGTTGCAGGGCTCAGAGTACCACAAGGAAACGGATAATCAGGGAGTCTCTACCCAGGGATGGATTGCCCACAGGGGCGTGGTAAGTCGCAATGGCCGCCACGTAAACCTTTAGGGTGCATGGAGATAACCCTACTGAAAAGCGATCTTGCAAGAATCAAGCACAACTGGGCAATTAACCGGATCCCACTGATGCTCATTACACCAAGAAGTTAAAACCTTCCACTTCAAGGTTGTACAGTTTCCTTGTAGCTGGAGCTCTGGAGAATAAGATGGTCTCTACAACCTCAGGTCCAGCATCTATGAGGCGGGGACGGGGGTGAAGGATTGTGCCCCCCTGCCTGAAACAGGGGGTCTTTCCTGACCAGAATCTCCAAGGGAGAACCGTTGAGGAGATATATCAGGTCCGTGAACCAATATATTCTGGCTCCCTGTGATATACACTGCCTTCAGGGAGAGCATCTTCCCTTTGGACCACAGGAGGATCTGGTGCGCCTAGTGGACACGACCGCAGACCCCCGTGATGATTTATGTAAGAGACCACTGATGTGTTGTCTGACCGGATAAGCACATGATGGCCCTTCAGGTCTGGGAGGAAGTGTCTCAACCCATTGAAGACTGCCATCATCTCCAGGCAGTTTATGTGCCACGAAAGATGATGACTCCTCCAAAGACCCGAGCTGAGTGGCCTTGAATATCTCTTTCACCATACAGTAATATTGTTGTTTTAGGATGCTTGTGACAGACAACAATAAATAGACAGACAGTTTCGATAGAGCGCTTGCTGGGGCGCCAAAGCTAACACCGGTCAGACCAGATGTGCTTTTATCCTTTCCCGCTTGTGATGTTCACTCTCGCATTTGGACTAGCTGACATACAGTACGTGCTTCAGACGCAATCACTCAGGGGCATTCCCAAAGCGGCATCGACTCGAAAGGGAATACAGAATGTTTATTCTGTGGTATTAATCTCTAAATGTTTATAATTTCACGAACTGATTGGCGGTTATTGTTCCTGCAGGACCAGAAGGATCAGAGTTACTCCACGGTGAAGACGGCCGCCACCAGAATCAGCGTCAACAACCTGAAACCGGGAACCACCTACGTGTTCCTGATCCGCACCTGCTCCAGCCCAGCACGTGCTTCTCTCTCTTCACCTCCTCTCTCCTCCTCATCCTCCTCTTCCTCTCCTCTCTCCTCTTCCTCGTCTCCTCCTCTGCTGGACTATGGCTTGTTCAGTTCACCGCTGGAGCTTCAGACACTGGGAGAGCGTGAGTGTGCATTTCCTAATGTTAGTACAGGAAACATTCTGGCTTTACTGTGAAACAATGACTTTAAAGTGCAAATGCTTGCTGTCATCTTTAATTAAAGAGGGTGCATTCATATTGAATGGACACACTACGGAAAGGCATCCTGCTCCTTTATTTCTGCGCACAAACAACTATTTGAACAGCTTTAGATTATGCAGGACAAAGCTCTCCTGTTTGCTGTCTGCTGGAAAACCATTTGGACTGAATGAGACTCTTTCCAGATCCTCTGCTTTTGCTCGTGAGAGCTTTGGCTTTTTCACAAATGCAAAATCCTTCGCTAGTGAGAGAATGGTTAAGGGGGGGGGGGGTTGACTGCGATTTCACTTTTTTCATTTTAAATAGTGTGTAATGTTGCTGTTGGTGCATGAACAGTATCTGCAAAGTTGCAGTGCTGAAAGTTCAATGTAAGCAGAGATATCGTCTTTTAAAAATCAGGAAGTATATTGCCTACAAAAACGACTGGATTGGGACTACAGCTAGGGCTGTCGCGGTTATGGAATTTCCCTTGCGGTAATGTTGAGTGGCTCAATAGCGCGATATGCGGTATTACCGCCATTTATTTATTTGTTTAAATAATTATATGGTTTTGTTGCTATATAAATAATGTTTACGATGTGGAAAAAAACGAGGACATTTTCAGTAACCAATGTAACCGAAACTAAACAGCGTCCACAGTATATGCGCATTGAAAGACTTTCACTCAGCGCGCATATTGTTATGACAACGGACTTTGAGCGATCAATTGAACCGTTCATTCGACGAACACGTTTAAAAAAAGCTGATTCAACAAGATGTTATTTATTTTTAACTTTGAGATTCAACTTTTCAAGGCTCAGCTGAGCAGCAATGCGTCGCATAGACAACGCTGAAGCTGATGCTTCACTTATTAGAGACCCATTGATTCAATGCGTGACTCACTGATTTTATTTCGGCTTCCTTGTGTTGTGGGATGCTGACCAGAGCTGCTGCTGACGCGCATTTATGGGAAAATAACCGTGAAGAGAACGTTAAAATGATGATGCGACTAATTTTTCGCTTCCCTTTGACACGACAAGCTTTTCACGACTTCAAAGACATACGCAGGTAATTGCACGCGCAGCGCGTGAAGCACTCTGCCGATCTCTTTCATTCACTGTCTGTGTGAAGCCTGTAAGCTACACATCACCATGATTAACAGTCTTGTTATCCTTATGAACTTGTTTAACATTCAATACACATGCATTAAGTTCAAAACAAGAAGGGTATAGCCTTATATATATATATATATATTAAAAAAAACGTGAATATCGCGGTTGCTGCGGTTACGTGCAATCCTCTGCGGTTGACTTGTCAGAAGCGCGGTACTACAATATTGCGGTTACTGCGACAGCCCTAACTACAGCTGGGTTATGGTACGTCACTAACCCACACATTTGCATCAACCACTCCCTCCGGGAATAAGCAGAAAAGAGCATGGCCATATTTCAGCAGCTCCAGCAGCTCGTCGAGTGTGTTGTTCACGCAGCTGTCAGGTCATATGTCTTCGAACTTCCTACGGACGCTGTACTTCGTCAACAATGGATACAATTTATGTTTGATTATGTTCCTGAAAATGACAATCGTAATCTAGCTCTCTGTGCTGCGCATTTTACGGAAGACAGCTTCCAGAATCTCCACGAGTTCAACACCGGGATTCAACGAGAAACTGTAAACATGAAGCAGTTCCGACTTTAAAACCACAGTTGTTGGGCCACAACCTGTAAGTAGGCTAAGACTTAACCATTTTAAACATATTTGCATGTATAATTCCAGACGTAGCCTTGTGTTTTAGTTTTTTTTCAAATGCCAGCGCTAGCTTTATTGCCACTACTAGGCTATTAGTTATGCTATTTTGTGTCTACGACAAACGCGTACAAACATGAATTTTGTATAAGTGCTAATGTTGTAAATGTATTTTTCATGTATATATGTTTTATGACGTTATTTTCGATTTGATCAAGAACATAAACTTGCCACCGCTGTTTGAGTATAACATTAGTATAGCCAGTCAGTTGCTATTGTTGCCAGTCAGATGCTATTGTGTTAAACAAACGTGTATAAAGTTAAAAAACGTAGCAAATTATCATTCAGAAACGTTTATTAAGAGCCGTGTGTGGTGTGGTTCTGTTTGACTCGCTTCATCGCGGCTTTCTCGGTCTGATTCTGGGTCATACTGATACTGCAGTTCGACGCATATTTACATCTGGACCGGAACTCATGACGTGCCCGTAAAGGTAATGGGCGTTAACTTTCCGGACAACGTAAGCGACAGTTTAGCCAATCACAACTCACCGGACCAAGCTAACCAATCTGTGCCCACGACGTGTTTCTGAGGGAGTGTTTTCATAGAATCAGGAAGTAAACCGCTCGTTCGAGGACAAAGGAGAGCGCGGCTGACAATGAACGTGAAGTTTGTGAAAAATAAGACTTTTTAAAAACGAAAAATCACGAATACATGTTATATTACACCCCATAAACACAATCATGCAAAGAAAAAAAGCAGTCAACCCCCCCCCCTTTAATTGCATTATATGGATTTTTTTTTTTTTTCACAAATCAGACTTTAACAACTGTTTTTTTAACTGTTAAGATGGAGCATGTTGTTTTTCTGAAAAATTATTTCACAAAAAGAAATATTTTAGATTATAATTAACATAATCTACATATAATTAATATAATAATTTATTTTTACTAGTTATATTAAATTATAACTTTATTATGACTTTTAAAGTGTTGTGGTCACATTAGAGCTAATGAGGATGCATTTGAGAAACTGTACGTCTCGTTGCTTTAATGCAGATTACTTAAATAATATTAGTTTTTGATATCATTTGCATAATTCAAATATAGACACTTCAAGCTTTGGAAAGATATGTCTCATGTTGGTGTGGCAAGCATTTGCTGAGTTACGGATAATTTTCTGTCGCGTTTCAGAATGATCTTCACATTGAGAGAGACGGCAGAACATGCATCATGTTTATTTTCTTTATTTTATGAAAAACACAACATAGTTTTTATTATGAGTGTACACAAATAAAAGGAGACATTTAACAGTTTTGAATAATGTATAAAACTTATATGTAAGATCAAAATTAAGTCTCTTTTGATAAGAAAAAAAGCGAGCAGATCACGCCGGCGCGACCTCTGACCCCTGAGGGTTACATCTCCCATCAGGGTTTGACTTTTAGATATACTTAAAAAAAATCACTTTATTTACTAATTCACAACTAGGGATTATCTTTGCATTTGAAAGCCAAAGTGTTTTTAGTAACTGTAATGTGAATAGTGTATCTCTGTCCAGATAGATGGAGTGGGAACATTCGCAACTGTTTAACTCACAACATTTTTCATTCCCATTAGGATCCTATCAAAATAAATAAGGAAGGACTTCAAAGATCAATCATCTTGTCAAGCTCCAGTGCTTTTAGAGGACTGATAATGACCTGTGCCATCTTGAATACTAACACAATCTTCTGTGTGTGTGTGTGTGTGTGTGCAGTGGCTCTAGCCTCCAGTGAACAGAGTCCAGTGGTGATCATTGTGGTTGTTTCTCTGGCCGCTCTTATTATGTTACTCACTCTCGGAGTTGGACTGCTCATCTGGAGAAGGTAAATCTGCCCTTTACAGACACTGAAGGAACATTCACTCCAAACAACAAAACATGAATGAAAGCATGTATGCAGTGTGTGAAGAATGTGTGTTTTCTTGCCATCTTGAGACTGATTCAATGATCCTTTCATGGCGATCTTTTGCTGCCAAAGATCTAAGACTTTTTCTATGTACACAAAAGGCCTATTTCTGTCAAATATTGTCCACAAATCTGTCTAAATGTGTGTTAGTGAGCCTAAATCATCCATCACAGCACAGATGTGGCGTATTGAGATGCGGATTACACTGCACAGGTGTGCCTTAGGCTGTCCACAGTAAAACACCACTCTAAAGACTCTCAGAAGATTTTATAATTGTGAAGCAATGAATTTGTTTTTACTTAAAATATATTTTACTTAAATCTATCTATTAATTTGAGTTTATTAATTAAGTATTTTTTAGAGTCAGTTTCTGCACTGATATTTTTCAGTAAACTGTGTTTGTTAAAGCAGAGCTGAAAGTGAAATCATTCCACAAGCAGAACTCCCAGGGACTTTTGACACACGATGATGTGTGTGTGTGTGTGTGTGTGTGTGTGTTGCACTGCAGAGCTCAGGTGTGACGCTGGAATGGATCTCTGGCAGACAGAAAACACACGCTCCTGTAGCTCTACATTAATCAGTCTGATGAGAATGGATTATATTGAGCCGCTGAAATTCTTCTCATTCATTCTCAACCACACACAACGGATTCTGTCAATCTCACACACACACACACACACAATCCCTTTCATATCCAGCCATAAAACTTCATCATCAGCTGACACACCAACACGTGTCGTCTAACACACTGAAGAGAGCATCTAGTCTCTGCTAAAGCGGTTTCTACTGATGAACGGTGTGTGAGAGAGGCTTATTAGAAACGCAGGCATACATCAGGTGTGAAGTGCTATTGGACAAACAGAAATGTCGGACGCCTCGTGAATTGTGGCTCAAATCTGTAGTTGTACGTTATCAGCAAATGTACAGCAAAGCTAAAGAAAGAAAAGCAAAGCAGCCAAAGATGTCAGTCCACTTGCAGATAACACACTAACAGTAGACTGACTTAATGCCACAATGTGTAACAATTAATAATTGGCATCTGATGTAATTGATTTTTTTTTAATAGCTTTAGTTTATAAACAAACACATGTTGCACATCTTTGAATCTTTAAACACCAGCAGGTCTCTCATGGTTCAGTTTCAGCAAAACCGGGTCTGTTTTTATAGATGCATTTTGTACCAAAAAGCTTTGAAATCTTGGTCCTGTGTTTTGTGATGTTTTTTTGTTTTTTTTCAGAAATATCTTTTATTATTAATAATACTTATTTACTGACACAGTCAGTGGATTATTGCACCTTATGTACATTTAATATTCTTGCATCATATTCTTGCACAAGCCGCTGGCCTGTGTGTCTACGACTGTGCTTGAGATTAAATTCTAGCATAATGTATAATATAATATTATAAAAAAAATTTGGTGAAAGTGCACAGTAGTGTAGCAGTCAGTACAAATACATTCATTTTCTCCATAAGGAACCATACAAGTTCAACTAACCATTCAAATATGTGACCCTGGACCACAAAAGCAGTCTTATGTGTCCCATTTTTTAAAATTTAGATTTATACATCACCCGAAAGCTGAATAAATAAGCTTTCCATTAACGTATGGTTTGTTAGGATAGGACAATATTTGGCCGAGATGCAACTATTGAACATCTGGAATAGGGATCGACCGATATGGATTTTTTAGTGCCGATACCGATTTTTTTCCCATCAGCCTTAGCCAATGACCGATACGGGCTGCCGATTTTCTTGAGCCGATATTTGGAGCCGATACATTTTGCTCCCTCAATTTACATCATAAAAATGACATGATGTTAACAAATGTTACAAGTCTCAATTTAATAAAAGTAACATTTAATTAACTTCAAAAATTACTATTTAACAAATAGTAAAAACATGTGAGGTAGAACAAGAACAAGTAGATAAACAATTTAACAAAAATTAAAAACATGAAGTAGAACAAAAAAGTTCAGTGCTGAAAATAAATATTTAAGCATAAATTAAATAATTACACTATTGCACACAGTAGCAAGCATAATAAAGTGCACAGTGCACACTGTACTTCATTTTAAAAGACGAACTATGTACTTCATTTTAAAAGAAACGAACTATGACTCCTCAGGAAGCCTCCTCACTCCTCGACTCCTCAATTGCAATTAGAGAATTGAGATGTCCTTCAAGATGGCTGAGCTCGATCGGTTTCCGGGTCATAGGAGGGAGGATGGAGGAGCGAGGAGACGAGGAGGGATATTGAGAAGCACCCCAGGTGTAGGCTAAATGCCCTCCGAAACTCATTCGAGACGGATTTAAATCCGATCGCTCAAACCACTTCATGAGGAGGTCTGGGCCTCTTTAAAGGGTTAGTTCACCCAAAAATGAAAATTCTGTCAGTATTTACTCACCCTCATGTTGTTGAAACCCCGTAAGACCTTCGTTCATCTTCGGAACACAAATTAAGATATTTAAGATATTAAGATCGCTCCTGCATACAGTCCATAGGCTTCTTGAGGGACTATCTCTTGCTGTCCCCGAAAAGTCATTAAAGACATCGTTAAAATAGTCCAAGTGACTACAGGGGCTCAATCTTAAGTTTATCAAACGACGAGAACACTTTTGTGCGCAAAAAAAACAACAAAAATAACGACTTTATTTCAACTATTCACTTCCTTCTCCATGAGCCTGTAAGTCAGTTAACGTAGTGTGATTGCGTAGAGCTACGTCACACGTAGGCTCACTATTGGCCGACGCTGGTCATGTGTGTGTGATGCGTGTGACGTACAATAACAGAAGCTTACGCTATTAAACTAGTAACCTGACTCGCGCAGAGGGAGAAATAAACGAATAGTTGAAATAAAGTCGTTATTTTTGTTGTTTTTTTGCGCACAAAAGTGTTCTCGTCGTTTGATAAACTTAAGATTGAGCCCCTGTAGTCACTTGGACTATTTTAACGATGTCTTTAATGACTTTTCGAGGAAAGCAAGAGCCAGTCCCTCAAGAAGCCTATGGACTGTATGCAGGAGCGATCTTAATATCTTAAATACCTTAATTTGTGTTCCGAAGATGAACGAAGGTCTTACGGGGTTGGAACAACATGAGGGTGAGTAAATACTGACAGAATTTTCATTTTTGGGTGAACTAACCCTTTAAAGACAAAACTGGACACGTACATGCATCTTGTTGAAACCGCAAAATGTAAATTGGACTTCTCCCAAAAATGCTAAAATAAAACGTGTGAGAGCAGCCTATGCTATTATATTCATGACCAAGCTATAACACGCACCGCAGCTGAGCATCTATTCATAAAGCCAACGTGCAAACTATCGTAAATCAAAGTGAATGTAAGTCACAGACGCTTAACACACAATCATCTTCGTTAAAAGTAAAGAAACAAAATTATCTTACCAGTGCTGTCTCTCTCAGTGCGGTCTTTGATTGTGAAATTAGCTGATGATCAATAAAATGTAGCTAATTACTGTTGCTTTCGGCGATGTGTCGTTCGAAGTCGTTCAACCCCTTATATATATATATATATATATATATATATATATATATTAAATATCTTAACTTGGTTAGGGTATTTATTATTTCACCGAAATATTTGGCAAAAAAGGAAAGCTCCATGTTTTATATTACTATTCAAAATAATGCATAGAAAAACAAAAAGCTCACAAGAAAAAGCAAACACTGACTACAACATAATCACTTATTAATATTTCATTAGTTCTCTCTTGTTTTTGCGTGTTCATAATTTCTTTGTATAACAGCCTGGACAAAAATTAGGTTGGCACAATTTAACATGTTTCATAAATATGCTAAATCAAAGTTTGTAATATAGGCTATACTTTTTTCTTTAATCCCTATGGGGAAAATGTTTCCGGACCAACATTATATACAACAATTAACATTTTAAATGAGAAAACGAGATAAAAAAAAGATATTTTCATGTTATCCAGTTTTCAAATGCGTGGTTATTTACTGGTAATATTTCCAATCCTGAATGTCTTGTCAGTCCATCAGTCTCCGCTGCTGCTGGAGTTTTACATTTATTAAACTCTGTATATAAAGATTCTATTCTCTTCTCTTCTTATTCTTTTTAAGTAGGTTAGGAGTTAAAGTCAAATCTTTTATTTTTATTTTTTCACCTTTATTACAACACAGAGTGTTTTAGAGCAGCATTACAGAGTCAGGGTTAGGTGTAGGGGCGGGGTCAGGGGGTAGGTGTAGGGACGGGTCAGGGGTAGGGACAGGTCAGGGGTAGGTGTAGGGGCGGGGACAGGGGTAGGTGTAGGGGTGGGGTCAGGGGTAGGTGTAGGGGACATTCATCTATCAGATTGTGTGGGCTAATGCTTTAATAAAATCTATGTATTATTTTCAATATTCTATTCTGTAATGCGTCCTGCGGTGTGTGTCTTCCTCTGGTGTGTGTCAGTCGCTGTAATTCACACTGTACAAGCAGCTGAATGCCATCGGATTCAGTGCCGCCTGATTCTTCACACACACACAGACACACACCCACTGTACCGCTTTCACACACTCGTTACACACTCGGGGTGTGTACACACAGGATTTCTGTCATACATTTAAGTTTCAGTTAAAGAAAACGTACAAGCATCTTGTGAACATACATATGAATTTGAATGCGACTATATGTGTCCTGTCGTATTGAATGGTTTGTGTTCTGTTAAAGAGTGATTATTATGGGTATTATTATTATTACATATTATGTATAATGTAGAGATATTTGTGCGTCTGGGTCAGTTTTAAAAGTTCCAGTCCAGTACATTTAAAATTGTTCATATTTAATGACAGATTGTTCATTTTTGGGTGAACGGATTCTTTATTGATTAAAACATTAGGGTTAGGGTTAGGGTGGGTTAGGGTTAGGGACCCCAGTGAAGTCAATTCTTCTCAAGTGTCCGTGAATATAGTCCATTATCATCAGCAAGTTTAATCAGTTAAAGTTTGCTTTAGAAGGCATATTAATACATAACTTCAGTATGCCAGTGGTGTCGTCATTGTAAGTGTTGTTTTGTCCTTGTTTCCAGGCGGTGTGAATTGTAATTTTCTTGCACAGGAGTTGTTAGTAATGTGTGTGTTCTTGTGTCCTCAGACAGTGCGGTTACAGTAAAGCCAGTCAGGAGGGCGACGAGGAGCTCTACTTCCAGTGTGAGTATCACCAGCTTCTGCTCCACACACTGATCTCAGACCTGGGGCCTCATTTATAACCGTTGCGTAAGCTCTAAACAGGCCCTGAAAGAGGCGTACACCACTTCCGACGCACAAGTTGTAATTTATAAATACAAACTTGACGGGAAAAATTGCGCACCTGCATGCAAACTCATGCGACTCATGCGCACGAACGTTTTGGAGAAGGAGCAGTTTGGCGACACCGATGGTGAGCTGGAGTTAAATGTCTTTTTGGTCTCTATTAGACAGAGAAGGTGCGTTCCATTCGACAGGGTGCCTACACAAGTGTTCACTGCTCCCTACTCCCTGAACACGGTATATCAGTTGAAGTGGACTTCATTGACTTCCTGTGAAGTGATGTATCAATGTTCCCTTATTCCCTATGCCGTTTGCAGTGCCCTTCGAACTGAACATGTTCGTTCCCTTCGAATTGGAATCTCACTTAAGATGGCAAAATACCCTGTGAAGTCCACTTCGCAGTCCACTTACGGTTGAATGGAACGCACCTCGAATCTAAAGAAAATTAAACATCTACAGAAAGATAACACAAATTTAATTTCACAAACCTATCATCACTTGAAGGAAAAATCCATCCCTTCTTAAATGTCTGCGGCATGAACACGTTGTGCCGTTTAGTGAAACTGACGCATAGCCTATCTAATGGCAGATGAAGTAATACCGTAAATCTTCATTATGAGTCCTAATCATAATTGTTCACAATAACAGTTTAAATAAATAAAAGAATGCTTTTAACTATGTTTTACTTCTGATATAAACATTTAGATTAAATATGCCATTCTCATTAATGGAGTTAAACACTTAAACTACATGAAATCATTACTGAGAAGTTACAAAAAAAATGTATATTCAATAAATAGAAATAGACCTATTTGTTGTGGATACAATGCTTTTGAACACTTTCCCTCTGGCATGCTGTGTTTTAAAGGAGCAAAACGCAAGTATCTGAGTGTTTGCAGAACTACGCCTCCTCTGGCGACAAGCGAAACTGCGTGCGCGCTCACAGACACATACACGTACGTTTGCACGAGCTGTTCATAACCAAAAGAGCATCAGCCACACACTGTGCGGCACACATCTTTTGTTACAGTCATAATGAGGTAATACAGTTATAAATCTGCAGGTCATTTAAAATATATGAAAGGAAAGGCATTCGAGTACACACTTATGTGTGTGTGTGAGGGGAAAACAGGGGTAACGTTAGTAGAAAACTTCAGTTTTTGTTTCCATCTATCTCTATATTGAATTGTTTTATGTGCTTACTGTATCCACGTATGATTGTATAATTATGGAAACACGTTCATGAACAATGAACGAAAAGTTATTATTTTCTATATATTTTCCCATTTGAGCCCTAGAGCAGACCGGAGATCTCTCCGTTTGTTGAAAGCCTTCCCGATGTTGACTCTCATCTTATTCCGACGACTGGCACTGGACAGACAGAAGTTGTATTTTCTTTGTCTTACGTGGAGTTTGCGTTGGGGTTTAGAATGAACTACAAGCCGGTCTCTTTGGGGCTGTTTACACCTGGCCACTTCATGCGTTTTCTCAGATTGGATAGCTATCTGATTTATCAAAACGATTCTATTTAGGCTACACCTGGTCATATAAATGTGTTTTTCCAAAACGGATATAATCTGATCTTCAATTCCCGCGCTATATACAGAATTAATGAAGTGCACGTCACCGAAAGCAACAGAAATGAGCTGCGTAAGGGTTAATGCCCGACGAGGTGTCCATTGTCCACTTCGGCGGAGGCAACCGTTCTCCGCTGTGCGTCGGCCGGTTCATGCCTCGCCGTCGTCCATTAAAACCTGACAATGGACACCTCGAAGGGCATTAACCCGCTTATACCATGGTCACTTGCCAAATAAAACATTTTTAAAACATTAGCTGCTAGTTTATATTTTAATTAGGCTAAATCAAGTTTTTACAAATAATAACTCGCCTGGTTTATTTAGCAACCAGAGATATTTATAGTCCGCTCAGCTTGTAGAACCCTTCAGGTTCAAAAATGCATTTTTTTTTTACTCCATGCATTACAAGTTGCTCAAGCAAGTGGTCAAATATTTCCTGTATTAAAATCACAAATAATTTAAATTAAAACTTGAAATTGACAAAAGCAGCCGACTCGCCTTTTCTTTTGCATCTTAATTATAAAACAATAGATCTTGCATGTCACAAAACTTATTTTTCCACCTCCACGATCGAGACGAGTTCATTCTGTCGCCTGGTTGAAGTAAATTGTAGTTTTCCTTGATTAAATGTGCATTTATGGTGAGATAACTACATTTTATTTAATTAAACGCATTTATGGTGAAATTACTAAATTTTTTAGGTCAATCTTTATCATTTTGACCACCAGCGTTTGCAGCACAGCAGAAATTGATTCGGTGTGGTAACGATCGCTGTGCTGCTGTTATATATGCCACATCAGTGAAAAGTGAAAGCCCTAACCTGTTTACATGGTGCGTTAGGAGACTGCTGTGCGGCACTTTGCTCAGCTTCAAGTCACTAACAGCCATTTGAGCTTCTACTGCTTCCTGATAAACACCAACCTTCGTGCGCAGTGGCTGCACAAAATAGACATTTTGATCGACGCGCAAAAAAGAATAAAAATATTAAGTCTGTGTTTGTTGTACAGCCGCGGATCATTTCCCTATCGAGGGAACTCAAACTGCGTCAAATGACACTCTGGGGGAACGCCCCTCAGCGTAGCGCCTCTGAAGTATGAATGAAACTATGCCAATCTCTGATTGGTGTTGCGTCATGACGTAATGTGTGACGGCACATAGGCGGAAGCTATATAAGGACCCGGCACACATGAGATGTCAGCTTTTTGTTCTTCAGCAAAGCGCTCTGTGTCAAACTGTCTGTCTTATTTGGTGTTGTTTGTCCCATAAGAATTGTCCTGAATTATTGCAATATGGAATCTGGTGGCTCGGATCTCGCGTTTGCCGAGGCAGCGTGTAGATTACGAGTCTACTGAGCAATAAAGATTCTGAGACTGGGATCTCGCGTTTGCCGAGGCAGCGCGTTGATTAAAGGTCTGCATTGCAATTCAGAATCTAGTGGCTGGGATCTCGCGTTTGCCGAGGCAGCGTGTAGATTACGAGTCTACTCAGCAATAAAGATTCTGTGACTGGGATCTCGCGTTTGCTGAGGCAGCGCGTAGATTTAAGGTCTGCATTGTAATTTAGAATCTAGTGGCTCGGATCTCGCGTGTGCCAAGGCAGCGTGTAGATTACGAGTTTACTCTGCAAAAAAAAAAAAAAAGATTCTGTGACTGGGATCTCGCGTTTGCCAAGGTCTGAATTGCAATAAAAAATCTATAGTGGCTCGGATCTCGCGTTGTCAAGGCAGCGCGCAGATTCGGTCTACTCTGCAATAAAGATTCTGTGTGGGGGCGAGGCATGCACAGTCAGCTCCTGAGGGCGCTGGTTGTGTTCATTGAGAAAAATCTGGACGCACACACAGCCGTGCGTTCGGGTGTTTTTAGCCTCGTACCTTTTGACTTTTTTCTCGAGAGATGAAAGCCAAATATATTGTGAATGACTCGAGTCTCGTCGTTGCCGAGGCAGCGCGTATATTATGAGTCTATAATAATAAGGACACATAATCTGTAAATAACAATTTTAAATAGTAAAAATAAATAATACTGTTGTGTGTGAGGCATTCACAGTCAGCTCCTGAGGGTGCTGGCAGTGTTCATTGAGAAATATCTCGACGCATAGGCCTACAAATTAGTACATGCGCTGTCTGATATTTCAGCCTCACATCTGTTGACTTTCTTCTCGAGGGATGAAAGCCAAATATATTGTTACGGCTCAAATCTCACGTTTGCCGAGGCAGCGTGTAGATTACGAGACTGTAATAATATTAAAACAGTATTGTTTGGTGAAAGAGTACCGCTTCTAGAGCCCCTCCTCTAGGAGCTTGGGGGCATAGACGGCACTCTCAGACGAAGCCTCAGCCTAAACAGGGCAACCTGAGGGTCGTCCTGCAGGCTATAAAGGCTTCCACAAAGAGGTCCTAGCCAGCCTAGGTTCTCTGCGGGCAGCCCCACCCGCGGTGGAGCGAACAAAGTCGTCCCTTTTGCGGAGCCCGCAAGAAATCGATGTTGCTCTCCCGCCGTTAAACACGTTTCGGAACGCATCGGTTTCCAGCGAACGCAGGCTGCACTGTCCGCCCCACAGGCTTGCAGCCAGGCAGCAATCGCGTCCGCCCATCGAGAATCGTTTTAGGTCCAGCCCTGCAGGAAATCCGCTTCAGGGGATCAAGAACGAATTCCGATTAATAACCGAGGCCAGGCTCGAGAGCCTGGTTCCCTTGGTAAAATAGGGCCCTGCGCACCATTCAGAATGGGTACAGGCTGCAGATCGGTTTCAACCCATCCAGATACAATGGGGTGATCTGGACTGTAGTCGACCCAGTGCAGGGTGGGGTATTGGAACAGGAAGTAAACTCCCTTCTAGAAAAAGAGGCCATGGAACATATTCCTCCACTAGACAGGGAGTCCGGGCTCTACAGCCACTACTTCATAGTTCCCAAGAAGGATGGGGCGGTTGCGTCTGATAATAGATCTCAGGCACTTGAACTGTTCTCTGAGGAGATTCAGATTCAAGATGCTCACCAACAATTTTGAAACAAATTCAATCCGAGGATTGGTTTGTCACGATAGATCTGAAGGACGCTTACTGTCATATATTCATCCTTCCATCTCACAGGAAGTTCCTGAGGTTCGCTTTCGGGGGCGAAGCGTACCAATATCGGGTTCTTCCGTTCGGCCCAGCACTCTCACCCCGCACATTTACCAAATGTGTGGATACAGCTCTAGCACCCCTGAGACTCGAGGGTATCAGGGTGCTCAATTTTATAGACGACTGGCTCATTCTGGCTCAGTCACAAGAGCAGGCGGTTCAGCATCAAGATATTGTCCTCGCCCACATCCAAAAGTTGGG